ATAATCTGAATCCATTAGAGATACTCTTGATATCAAGTTGGCTTTAAAGGCCAGAAAATAGAAGCGAAAAACTTTTAAGGAACAGTACTTAAAGTTTATATATAAAAAATCTGAAAAAGGACTGAACCAACCGTTATTAAAAATATTTTGAACGAAAATTTTATGTTCTATCATTTTCATGGCCGAAAACTGCATTTTATGAATTAGTATACCCCTCAATGACATATCAGATAACAATTTGGGGTAACACCACAGATAATACAAAAAAGGATTCTTAGATCAATCTTAAAATTAATCAAAATAGATTTGTATCCGAAAATCATGGAAGATAACGTTTTGCATAAGGTCCTGAAATGATCTTGATGTTCCTTCGAATACAGCGAGAAAATATTGCAGATCTTGGAGAATAATGTTTTTTATGTTGAAAGTTCTGAATTAAATTATATATTAAAACCTCTTTAAGAACCATTAGGTGAAAATCTTCATCTCTAAGAGAAGATCTTAAATAGATTGGGAAGGTGTTCTCTATATTGGCGATTATAACCGTGGACATCAGTTTATTTCTTATGGGAGTAAGTATCCTTTTTTGCTGGACGAACTCCTTCTCCGTATCAGTAGTTTGTCCCCAGTTTACAATATTATATGAAATAGACGAGTATGCTGAGGCATAATGGAAAGTTCAAGGACCTGACTGTTAATATTGGGAAAAACGTTTTGCTCAATTTATTAGATGTCGTGGTCCCACTTTAGGAAAGCATGGATATAAGTTAGGCAAAGGTTTAGGTTTAGGTTAAGGTTTCTCCAAATTTATGACCAAATGTGTGCCACAGCACCGAAGAACCTATTGGTCGGCTCCTGAGCTCCGGAGATACGCGTGTCATCTGCTTACATAAAAACGCAGCAGTTGGTTTACATACAAAAGAAAAAGTAATGGACCTAAGATTCTCCCTGGGGTGTGCCCAAGTTGATGTGAGGAAGATCCGAGTATACTCCATTCACTTTGACATTTATTTTACTAGGTTAAATAAATGATATTATCCAGCTACTAATATACCCGTTCCTTCTGGAGTATCTCTGAATGATGGACTTTCGAGTTAGAGGGAATTAGGTCTTAAAGAACGCTTCTCTTGCACAACAGTTTTGAGTATGTATAGTCGGTCTCAATTTTCATCGTGTTGGTATTCAATGAACCATCCCTAATAAAACGTGGTTATTACCTATTGTGTAAACGCATTAACAAAAAAAATATTCTGATTTCAGTGACAAGGCAGGGGTGGCCCAGGTATATTTTTTAATTTCTGATATATTTCTTGGGTGTTGACCATTTGTGGCAGTGTTGAATAATCGTTTTCACTGTGTGCTTTGAAAAAGTTATTTTACAAGAATGTAACAATGTCCTGTCAAATCATTTTTCGCTTTAAAAGCATCCTGTCTATTTATAAAAAGACAATATCGTCGATAATAGTGAATAATTGAAGAAAACGAATAAATGTAATGGTATTCAGACTTACCCTATAGATAATAGTGATCAGGACCTAATAAGGAGGAAAATATATTGTCTTTATCAAAGTGAAGTTGTTTCTACCTTAGATAAAATTGAAAAAGAAGCTAGAAGAAGAAGACGACGAAGAAGATGAAGAAGATGATAAGAAGGTAGGTAGTAATGGAATCACACAGATTATGTGGAGAGTTAATTAAATTCAAGAAGTTAAAAGACAATAGATCCATAATTTACCTCGATGAAACGTGGTTCGATACACACCACACTGTATCCAAAGGATGAGTTGATTCCACTCCAAACTGTTAGACCAAAGCAATTTTAAATACAGGACAACGCATTACTATAATATATGCTAGGTTAGAAGACGGATTTGTCCCAAACTGCTTGCTGTCGTCTGCAAAGAATATTAATGATTCTTACTTTGATTATCATGATGACACAAGTGCCGATTTTTCGAAAAAATGGTTTCCAAACAATTCAAGTGTTTGTTGAATAATTGTTATTTGTTTATTTTAAATTCAGTAACAAAAAAGCGCCTTTTTTCTAAGTCCTAAATTCATATGCAATTAAAAAACAGTATGTTTTCCTCCCCACTGAGCATTTTTGGAACCAAGTAAAATCAAAGATCAGAGCAGAAAAAGTTACTCCTACTTTAAGTCCCAGTCTTATAAATTTGATAACAAAAATGTAATTAATAACATATCAATTGATAGCCGGAAAAGTTAAGTACAGCACATTATAAAAAATTGATTACTCTCAATGAGGAAAATGTTGTGATATTCCTCGATATAAATTTATTGTATACAGGGTGTCGCGAAATTGGACGCCAATATATTAACCGCGTATTCTGTGATCCAGAATAAGGATAAAAGTTCGTATAAACTAGGGTCCAAAACGTCTTAGTTTTAACATACAACTTAAAGAGGTGATGGCGATTTTTTGTAAATTTTGTCGAAACATGTAAATATTTTTAAACAAAAAAAAACTTAGTATTGGATTGTTTTCAGGGGTGGGTAACACAGGAGTGGCGCTGGTAAAATTTGCCCTAAATGTTTTGTTTTGTTTAATTTTCGTAATTTGGACCGCAGAATTTGAAAATTTGACGTTTTCTACTTAAATAAGGTACCCTTGTCGCACCTCGCCAGAACACACCGTTTTCGAGAAAAATACTTTTGAAAAATTAATTACATTTTTTTTTTATTTTAATGTTTACAATCGAGGTGCAGATAATAATTAGAAAGCCTTGGAAGTTATTGACGCGATTCATTTGTTTGAGTTGCTGGGTAAATAAAAATTAAATGTCAATTATTCGACAGCTTTCAATTTTGTTCATTGTTGGTAAAAAACAGTTTTTTTATTTACGAAACGCCCCCTACCCACAAACCAAATCATGGACCCGCGCCTGAATTAATGTAACAATAGCAGTGGTAAAATTGTAAGATAAAAGAAAAATGATATTACTTACTTTTCCCGAGAGTCTGGAAACAGTCCGAATTCTCCTTGTCGGCTAATCTTCAATTAAATTAAGCGCGTCTTCCATATTATAGTTCCCCCCACCCCCCTGCCCGTCTGTATTAATGAAAACTCGACGATCTGGTACTCAATGATTAGAAAGCCTTCTACCATACTCTTGTACGGCCTCCCCAGCTCTGCCATTGCAAAAGCCATATACAAAATGAATATCCGCTAATTCTCTATTAGAAAACAACTCCATCAGATTTAAATAGCTTATTTTTTTATTAGAATAATTAGCTTTACATTGCAGAGTTTGATTTGTGTTTTGATAATAAAAGGATTTATAAGAAGAATCCAAGTAAAAACTATTTTTTACCAAAAATGAACAAAATTGAAAGCTGTCGAATAATTAAAATTTAATTTTTATTTACCCAGTAACGCAAACAAATAAAACGCGTCATTAACTTCCAAGGCTTACTAATGATTGTAAGGACTAAAATAATTTGCAAATAAATTTTCAAAAGCATTTTTCTCGAAAACCGTAGAAAACTTCAGATTTGCAAATTATGCAGTCCAAATTACGAAAATTCGCCAAACAAAAAATTTAGGGCAAATTTTTTCTACGCCTGACCCGTGTTACCCACCTCTGAAGACAATCCAATACTAAGTTTTAGTTCGTTAAAAAGAGCCTAAAAAGTTTAGTAACTGTACCAAATTTTATTCAAAAATATTTACGTGTTTCGAAAATATTTACAAAAAATCGCCATCATGTTAACTAACTAAGACGTTTTGGTTAGTACAATACGTTGGTATATACAATAAATATATATCGAGGAGTATATATACATCAATACATTTTTATTCAAATCCAAATTCTAATTCTGTTTCACTCTACGAGTCGTCATTGAGATTAATTATAAAGGATTTATGTTGTTTGGTATAGAAAATTTAAGAGTCCTCAATGTGTATTGTAATGTTATTCTTTTTTATAATATTATAATATTTATTTTTATAATTTTATAATATTAATAATAATAATAATAAAATATTTTTCTATCAAATTTGTAAGACTGGGACTTAAAGTAGGAGTAACTTTTTCTGCTCTGATCTTTCATTTTACTTGGTTCCAGAAATGTTCTATGGGGAGCAAGACACTGTTTTTTAATTGTATATGAATTTAAGACTTAGAAAAAAACTCGCTTTTTTGTTACTGGATTCAAAATAAATAAATATCATTTTTTAGCAAATATTCTTGGATTTCAGTTTTTGAACTTGATGAGGCTGGTGTTTAGCCTAGCAGACGCCTGAATTGTTTGGAAATCAATTTTGTACGGCATGGTAATCTAAGCAGGAATCCTTAATATTCTTCGCAGACAATAGCAAGTAGTTTGGGACAAATCCGTTACCTGGCCCAGTATATATCATAATGATGCGTTTTCCTGTATTTGAAGGTTTAACAGTTTTAAGTGGAATTAACCCATCCTTTGGATAAAATGTGGTGTGTATCGAACCACGTATCATCAAGGTAAATTATGGATCTATTGTCTTACAAAAAATTGCCATCACCTCTTCAAATTTAACACCCTGTGTGTTAAAAACTAGGACGTTTTGGAACCTAGTTTATATGAACTTTTATCCTTATGTTGGGTCACAGAATACGTGGTTAAAATATTGACGTCTAATTTCTGGACACCCTGTATTTTTAATATCATTGTTTTTTCTTAGGGTAATTTAATGAGATTACTCCCACAAACAGTTTTTTTTTAATTATTACCAAAACCTTTGAGAGTCCGTATCTAATGTTCTGTCCTTTAATACCTATCGGACACGAGCTTTATTGCCGTCGGCAGATAACATCCATAATTGGAGAAGGTCAGGTCAGCATCTCATCAATTTTTTCTTAGAAATTACCCTCGAACGTCATCGAAAAACATCACCCTCCCGCTATATCAATACTGCGTTCCCGTAGGCCTTCCCGAGCCGTTCGAGGACGCATGTAAACGAGCAACCTCGCTCCGGGATATCACAACAAAATTACGTTCAGTCTCTCGGCAACATCCAGACGTAAGGGATTCCGAATCGAACGGCGGCGACGTCATTTAGGTCGAGAATTCTCCGTCGACCACATGCTCCATTATTGATTGGCGCGAGACCTCATCCACGGCCCGTTTTTTTCGCGAGCATGGGCTAAGGATTGGCATACGCGTGTCTTAAACGAACTCTTCAGCTCGCGACATAGTTATGGCCGGTAAAGCACCCGAACTGAGTCTAAACGGGCACGAACTGGCCCCTTTGAACAACAAAGCGACCGGAAGTGAAACCGCGAGGAAACCGGGCGTGACTATCGTCCTCCAAGGACCTAGAGGTTCGGTTATTTCCAGGGGTAGCAACCTCGCCGATCAGGATGGAGACAGGGCAGCGTGGTCTGGGAAAATGCAGTTCTTCCTGTCGATCATCGGGTATTCGGTGGGTCTCGGCAACATCTGGAGGTTTCCGTATTTGTGTCAGCAGAACGGCGGAGGTAGGTCTGGTGAGGTGTGAGGACGTTGAAATAGTATGATCTGTTCGTAGATATAAGTAAGTGATCAATTGCTTTGGAATTTAATTATACAAGGGTGGTCATTAACATACAATGCAACAAGATTATTACCTAAAGTTTCAGAATTTAAATTCAGGTAAAATTGTGCTCCGTAATAGAAAATAATTTTATACCTACCTGTGTTTAATATTCTTTGGTTTGGTATACTACTTAGTTTAAGTTTATTAGTAATCATTCTTATTTCGTGTGTAATACAGCGTGTGTTGAATCGTGTTCGAATTATGCAAAATGTGTGCCAGTCTAGTGTATGTCAGGAGATGGTGCCGCCCAAATGTAGAAAACACTAATCTATTGAGACTATGACAATAAAGTAACGTGCTCTGCACAAGGCACAAACTAATACTAAAGAACACGCTAATTGTTGGATGTTTATTTTACATGCGCTGATTTGTCTAGACTTGCAATAACAAAGTTTTGTTTCACAGATAAAACGAGTGGTGCATTCACGCACCAGTAAATATTTTAAAAAAATAAAGCATAATTAATACAGTATTTCCAATGTATGTTTTATGCGATGTAATCTACATACTATAGACTTAACAAATATTTTGGATTTACTTGAAAATATGATACAAATTTATGTACCGCTTTTGTTAACCTTTGAAGTCATATATAAGATCGTTCCTTTACATATAAATTAGCGATTTCTACGGTTTTATGTCCTTTAGTAGTGATAATAATAAAATTTCTAAGTGGATGTGCAAAAATATTTCCTGGATGGGACAAAAAAAATCATAGAATCATTAACGTACCACTGGGACAAAATGGGTTAAGCAAATCAACATTAAAAAATACGATTCGAGACGAAAGTGGTCAAAGAGTAGAATGGCTGAAGATCAAACAACTCCGATATGAAAAAGGAACAAAAAATTTTATATTGTTCAGAAACAATTACGATGGAGAATACAAAGTTCTAAATGTAAAAGGAAAAGTAAAGGGTAGGCCCGGTAGTAGGCCGAAAGAGTCAGATTTAAGAGAGTGCTACTCAGAATCATTGCCAATATCCAAAAACAAAAAGGATGACTTAGTTAAACTTTGCCGAACTGGAGTTATCTCAATGAGTATTGTTGCTGGTATATGAACTTATCAAGTAATAATTCCATAAAAGACAAATGCCCCGAAGCTGCGCAAGACGAAAGCAGTGATGTTAGGATTATTTTAATGCTACTTCATTTTTCTTATTAGTAATTATTATTGTTTAATAATTTGTTTTAATCGTGAATTTGTTATTTAAATAGTTAATAAATGTTAGGTGAACAAATTGATCTTAATTTCCTTCGAATACGAAAATAATAGGTATAGTTATATTATGACTAATAATACAATACATTTTTTTTAATATGGTAATTAATTAACAAAAAGCTGATTTCAAACTTACAGGAAATAATTGATTCATTGATTCATGACAAACTGACTAAGTCTAAACCATTTCTTTCGAATACAAAAATAATAATAGGTCTATGGCTATAATAAAACAATACTTAAGTTATTGTTCAATATGTATTTCCACTAAAGTAAACTTACAAGAAACAATTGAATTTCACATTTGTTGAAAAATATTCAAATATTAGTAGCTTAAAACTGTTAATATTGGACTTGGTCACTTTCTCTTGTCTACCGACGATATATAATCCTAAACCTATCTACCCTAAGGTGTAAGGTTGAATAATGTTTACAACTCGTATACAAATTTTCTCCATCTTCTCTTATCTAGTGCCATTTCAGCTGCTTCCATTATCCCCAGTCCTCTTTCTCTTAGTATATTCGCTATGTCCTGATCCCATGATAGTTGCGGTCTTCCTATTTTTCTTCGGCTGAACCTTCTCGCTTCCCAGATCAGTTTTGCTTGTCTCTTTTTGTCCATTCTTTTTAGGTGTCCGTACCATCGTAATTGGTATTTCTCAATATGTTTGAGAACTCGTTGTACTTTCAATATCTCTCTAATCACGTCATTTCGGATTTTGTCTCTAATTGTGATACCTAGGACCTTTCGTAGGTTCTTCATCTCCATTCTTTGAATTTTTTGCCTTTTGGGTCAGTAACCAGCTTTAACATCCAAATGTTAAAATTAGAATGAATATTGCCTTGTATATTGTTATTTTGGTTTTAGATGATATTTCCCTCTTTAATAATAAGCTTGATTTTAAAGTGTGAAATAGTCTTGAGGCATTCTCGATTCTCGCATTTAGTTCTGTTTGGTGACACCCGTTGCTACTTCGTTGTACCCGCAGGTATTTAAAAATGTCAACTTGCTCTATTCGTTAATTCGATGGTCAGGATTCCATTTGTTTTGGACGTAACCATAATTTTCGTTTTTTCTTCGTTGATTTTAAGGTTTTTCTCATTTAGCCTATTGTTTCCAGGTTCTTCTTAAGTTCCCTTTCATTTCTTGCAAACACAACCACATCATCGGCAAACGCACATTCGCGTATCCAAACGAGTTTCAACTCTTTATACTCTACTAAGAAACCGGATGTACCGGTTCTAGTTTTTTTTTATTACATCGTCAATAACTAAATTAAATAGTAGCGAACTCAAAACGCTTCCATGCGTAACGCTGTCGTTTACTGTAAAGTATGCTGGCCGCATGTCGTCGGTTCTGACGCAATTTTTGCTGTTCTTCTATTATGGCATTAAATTATGGCTGAAATTAGTTTTCCTTCTATCAAACTCTGCCTCACCGCATATTTTGGAAGTGTGTCAAAAGATTTCTCTAGGTCTAGGAAAACTAGATAGATCCACTTATTGATTATTGCTGTTTTACATCTTTTTCATAATTTGTTTCTATTAACTAACCAAAACTATACTAATTTTCAAGTTCGAATACAGGGTTCATCGTACCAAAAAGGAATTGAAATGGTTTTTTTCTACTCCCGTCTGTAAAATACCTAATTACACACCGATCTGGCGTGCGGGAAGCGTCACTTTACCACGTCAGTTTCGTTTCCCACGGATCCGAGCCACTTCGGACATTTCCGGGATTTTACCGCACGCATTTGAGAGCAATCGGATGTTTTCGGAGATATTCCCCACGCTTTGAATTTTGAAGTTTGTCAATTGGGGAAAATGTACCCAAAAACTAACGGTCGTAGAAAAAGTATAGTATGCAACACGTTCGGTAAACTTTTTAACTCACTCGTTAATTAAAAACTCGCTCCGCTGCGCTCCGCTCGTGTCAAATAAACTCGTGAGTCAAATGCCGTTTACCGCACTTGTTGCATAATATACTATTTTCATATAGCATAGACTAAAGTTAACTGACGCAGCTTTTAGAAGCGGAAAATGGAAAACTACTTTTAGAGATTTTTTCAAATTGAAAATGATAACAGATTCGTATTCGGTACCACCTAAAAGTAGCTAGATCAGCGACCAATGTTTTTAATGTTTTAAAAAATAAACATTCGTATGAACGTAATTCTATACAAAAATAAATACTATTTTTAGATCGAAAAGTGAACAAAACAAAATATTATACTTGGTAATTCATAGGAAACGTTTAAATACAAACTACTTCCGTAATATTGCGTTATAACACAGCTCTAGAAATAATGTTTTTTTTTTGTCGCCCTGGATATCTGTGAAAATTTTTATGTTTTCAAGTGTCCAGATCACGAATGTGCTCTTATTTTTATGATTTTCACAAATCCTATAATTTGAACAATAGTCAGCTTTTAATTCATAAAAATCGATTTTATCCGTCATGATTAGGCTTCTGCACAACTTTCTCGCGCATACAAACATCACGTGATCCCTACTTTTAGCAATTCCCTTTGCTCCGCAGAACAGCTGAGATCTCAGTTATTAGACAATACGAAGTACCTACACGTGAATCTAAATAAGTTCTTATGAGTTAATATTTCGTTTCAATTACTGAATATATATTTAAATATGTATTTGTTTTGTATTTTAAAATATGAGTTCGTCAAGAAGAAAGTGTAAATATAGTACTGATTTGTTTTGTTGTATTTGCGGTGTTGATTTAACAAAAGAGCAACAACGAAACATTACACACTTTGTTAAGGAGGCTTACACTAAATATTTCGATTTTAAAATGGACAAACTAGAAAAACTATCGATTCGTCATAAAATTTGTAAGTTATGCGTTGAGTCTTTACGGTTATGGAAAAAAGAAGAACGTTCTGGAATAGACTTTGGTATTCCGATGATCTGGATGGAGCCTACAAATCATTTCGATGATTGTTACTCTTGCGTTGTAGATGCTAAAGGTTTCAATCGCAATCAAACCTGGAGTCTACAAAATGCCCTATACTATATAGTGAAAATCTTGAAACCGGGACAGTCTATAAGTGAAAGTGAATGGAAAGGTGAAACATCTACTCCGAAGTTATTTTCTCAAAACGAACTGAATTATTAGCCTCAAGATTGAACGAAAAAAATGTATTGGCCCCAACAGTGACAATTACGACATACAGGACACGAGAAAAAGAGTTTTTGCAATTTTTTAGTGAAGATGAAGGTCTGGTATACTGTAATGACATCGCGAAGCTACTTTTAGACATGGGTTTAATAGCATACAAACCTACTGAGTGGCGACTTTTCATTGACAGTTCTAAAAGAAGTTTGAAACGCGTTTTACGGCACATTGGTAATAAATTTGCATCTATTCCAATTGCTCATTCAACAAAACCCAAAGGGGAGTATGAAAATGTAAAATTAGTTTTAGAAAAAATTAATAATTCGGAACATCAATGGCCGATTTGTTTAGATTTGAAAATGGTTAATTTTTTACTCAGTCAACAGAGTGGATGCAAGAAATATTCGCAAAGCAACATCATTGGAATCAAGATGTTTGGCCTGTGAGAGATTCTTTAACTGTCGGTAAAGCCAATGTAATAAGAGAGACATTGGTAAGCAGAGACAAAATCATACTCCCATCATTACATATCAAGTTCGGAATGATC